ATGTGAGTGTCCTTCTTGGCTATGACAATGTAGTTTTTGTAAAGCAAAAGATACTGGTAACTGGAAATAATTCTCAACCACAGTCTTTAGTAATTAACGATTTTAATAATGATGATCTAATGGATATTGGCGTCGTTAATTCACGTGCGCAGAATATTGGTATTTTTCTTGGCTATGGAAATATCTCTTTCGCAGATCAAGTAACATATTCAACGGACCCATATTTATATCCATGCTCTATGGCTGCCGGTGATTTCAACAATGATACTCGAGTGGATATTGTCTTTGCTAGTTGTGACGCGGACAGTGTTGGTATTATTCTTGGATATGGGAATGGCTCTTTTGGAAATCAAATGATGTATTCAACAAACTTCAGTTCGTCTCGATTCTCTTTAGCTGTAAATGACATTAACAACGATGCTATACAAGACATTATCATCGCAAGTTATGATACCAATTATTTAGGTGTTTTTCTGGGACATGGCAATGGCACATTTTCAAGTATCATCTTATTTCCGTTGGACTATGGATCCAATCCATTCTCTATTGTCGTTGGAGACTTCAATAATGACAGAAAACTAGATATTGCCGTCGCCAATAATGGAACTGACAGTTTAAATATTCTGTTGCAGACTTGTTAGCTTTTTTATTTCGTACTTTATATCTTTCTATCATTTACCTATTTTGTATGCTCTCATATCTAATAGAACCATAATTTAAATATTCAAATGATTTTAACTGCAAAACATGCGTGTGTTGTTAGATATGATGATAAAAATCAATCAAAAGCTAGCAAGACACATTTCGACAAGTGCTAAAATTTAACTTATTATTTGCTTATGATTGAAAAGCTTCCAACAATATTTAAAAGAGATTCTCCTGTAATTTGATGTGCATTCTGTTATGTCGTGAGTTAGGTAAAGAGATCAACTGAAAACAGATCGATCTGTATATTTAAATAATATAGAACTATCGGCAAATTTCAACTTTTGCTTTTCAGCAACCGGTTAAGTCGAGTTGAAATTTATATATGATAGAGTGTGCTTGAATAATTTAATAGAATACAATAGTAATGCAGTTTTATTTACGCCGACGCGTGTCATGTTTATTTATAGAAATTTTGAAATACTGTTCAGAGTACTACATTATAATATGAAGTACACAAAGCAAAATAAGACAGTGTACTATAAAACAACATTAAATGAAATAAAATAAAATGATTGGGAAATTTGAAAAGCTTTTTGTTAAATAACAAGCTATTCTACAAGTGTAAAATTATTTCAAATTTTAGAATTATCATGATTATCAGAAAAAGCATACATTGCGATTAATTACAAGAGAGATTATATAAAAGAAAAAATAATAATAATTCTGTATAGCATCTTGTAGACAGTCATTGATAAGTAGCAATTCGTGTATGATTTGTCTTGCCGTTGATTAGAATTTGTAACCACTAATGTAAATTGTCGATTTTTGAATATAATAATTTTGTCTTCAATAAATAATTTATAATGTAATGCAAGTTTCGTGTTTCGTTTGCGAAATTTAAAAAAAACAAAAAAATATGAACCAAAATCATAAAGATTAATATTGGGCTTGATTCTATTAATGCTATATTTTTATGGAACAATGAAAAACAGATTGACTTATATGCTTATCATACAAATCAATATGTTATTCTTAACTCTTGCTTTTCAGCAACCGATCAAGTCAAACAATAGATGTATATATAATAAATGAGCTTCAATTAAAATACTGAAATACTGCAGAATTCATTTCGCCGACTCGTTTCGTCTTATTTATTAAAATATTAAGACGCTCATCAGAGCTCTGAATTATAATTAATAAAATATAAAATAAACAATAATTAAAATTACAAATATAGAGGGCAAAAATTAAAAAAAACACATAAAATATAGAGAATATCTAGATTAGCTTATTGACAAGCTAAGTTTATATGAAATTTACAATAATAGTACAGTTTTAAGCAGGGCAAAATAAATTTATGATAAATTGAAGAGGAGGTACAATAAAATTATGAAAACGTTGAGGTTGTATAATGAATTGGTAAATAGCAAATTAAAAAAAGCGTATTGCTGTATACATAGTTGAAAAATAGTTAGAAATAATAAATATACAAGGCAATTTTCTCTAGGTAACGATGTTTTAATTTTTTACTATATATTGAATTATATAAAGTTGTTAGAACAAATTCTAAATAAACAATCTAATAATTTCTAATAATAGATTTTAAATAATAATCGTAAATTTTAAATATAATAAATTTCAAATGATTTTATCGACTAATTCCATCGACTGTAGGGAGGGTCATATGAAAAAACCAAAATGTGTTTGTGGCAAGCTCAAAAAAACATTTTTTTTTTTAAATATATTTTTCAATGCAGCAACAGACTTTTTGAGAAAAAATAATTTTTTTCGAACACTTCTGAAATTTTTTTCTGGCTAGTCAAATCGGTTAAAATGGAGGTGTCTTACGACGCATTATATTACTAATGTGTATAGCCGTCGCGTTACCACACTGATCGTTTCTAGTGACAGTTATCGGCTGATGTTTATAGTTACTGTAGTTTGGTTTAATGCATTATATGCGATTGTTGTAAACAGCAATCGAAAATGGTTGACTTATATGATAACTTACGTTGTTTTCCGACCAAAGTATACAGTCGCCGTATTCTTTCAGTAGTACTTTACGGTGAGCTATTACGGGTAGCGTGTACGATTGATGTAATATACTGTAACGCATCGTTTTCTGCTGCCGTAAACAATCGTCGTTATTCATCGTATTTGGTAAGCGAACGACCACTTATGGTCGAGTGTGATTGACCGGGGTAGGTTCTCATGGGCTACTATATGAGGGCACCCATGTATCCTCAAGGATTGTTCTATAGAGTGTTCATAGGTTCTGAAGGGTATAAGAGAATAAAGCGGTATGATTACAACATGGCCTAGAAAAATATGTGCGATATACCTCTGGGTTAAAGTCTTTCCTTGCATCTCTTTTTTCGGCAAGGTTTTCTCTACTATTATAAGGAAAAAACATGGTGTTGTTCAAACCGATTAATGGTGTGGGTGTTAAATCAATATCAAACAGATCGACCTATATCTTAAGAATACAAATCAATCTGCTACTTTCAACCTTTGCTTTTCAGCAATCGATTATATGTGTGTCAACAAATATAAAATATTTTAAACAAATATGCTTGATTTCAAATATTTCTTTTTTAAAATGCAGAGTTGATTTTGCCGACGCGTTTCGTGTTATTTAATAAAATTTAGAAATACTCATCAGGGCTCTGCATTTACAAATATAAGCAAAATAAACAAAATAAAAAAATTTTTGAATAGAAATTAAAATAAGATTAAGATAACAAGGAACAAGCAGTAGGGGAGTTGGAAAAAAACTGTAAGAAGAAAATAGTTAGAAGTTAATGGAAAAACAACAGTTTTTCACTATTTGCCATGTATAATAGTATAGATCATATCAATCTATAATTTAAGTAAGAACTGTATAATTTTTCAAAGAACCTATAAATATTTTTAATATATAAATCCTATAAATAATTTGTGATTTGAAAAAATTAATTAATAGATAAGACAATAATTGATAATGTAACAATTAAATTGCAAATAAATGATAATGTAAAAGTAAATTTTAAAATGTATTTTTAGACATTTGATTACTTAGGGTTAAAAAATAATGATTTACAAAATAAAGATTTAATGTACTTTTTTAATAATAAGTCGATTGGTTTTATGAAAAATCGGATATATTTGATAACAAACCAGTAATCTTGATAATAATTATGAAAATTATAATTTCTTATTGATATATCTTTAATTTTTAATAATTTCTATTGATATATTCTTTTAAACATTTGATTACTTATGGTTAAGAAATATCGATTTAAAAAATAAAGATATTGTATACTTTTAATAATAATTCAATTGGTTTTACGAGAAAATAGATATATTTAATAACAAACCATTAAATTTAATACAAAGATAAATATTTTTAATAATAATACTAAGTATTATAATTTCTTATTGATATATTTTTAATCTATTATGATTTATATTGATATATTTTTTTACGCTCACTTTATTTTCTTTTTTTAATAATTAAATTAATAATATAATTTAAATGATAACAGATAGATTTTATATAAAACAAGAATACTTAATAACTAGCCAGTAATTTTAATGTGAATCAAATATTTTATTTTTAATAATGCATAATGTTATAACTTGTTAATGATATATTTTTGAGTTAAATTTAATGAAAATTAGTTAATGCAGTAAAAGACGAAGTATGTGAAATATTT